TAACATACACATCAAAACAATTGTTCCTGTGGGGATGCCCAAGAAAATTTTAAATCATTGTATTTTAAAAAGATATTATAAGTGAACAACTGTACAATCTTAAGAAATTAAATATGCCATTTCAAAAAATTATTTACAGTTGATTGGATTTCAAGAGAATACTAAAATGCAATTTATTGCAAATCCTTTAAAAATGGGTAAAGAGTTTAACTTATATCACAAACTGCTTCAACTGAACCAGAAATACAGCTGAAGCAATACATTCCATTTTTACTCTATTTTGCTGTTTTTATTTAACTCTTTTTAACATGTTTAATGTTCATTGTGAGGAACTTGGTGTATGTAACTCTTTGCTGTAAACTGATGTGAGCTGCTTTACTTGTATGTAAGGTTCTATACAAATACTTTATCATTGTTATTGTAAATACACTATAATTTTGCTCAAAAGCAGATATCGTTTTTGCACAGTGTGCATTGAAAATAAATGTTGTATTTTTTCACCTGTAAGCAGATCCATGTCTTCAGATTGCAACATCTTGTTTGGGGGATCAAGATAAGCAAGGATTTTTTGCACCATCTCAGCAATGAATTTAAAGCTGGGCTCAGACATGCTCCTCGACAATCCTGTTGCTTCAATGCGCAGATCTGCTCCAAATGCCCGGTTGTTGCTGATCTCTCGGAGCAGTATGGACAGATCATCAAATGATTTCAGAATGACAGAGACTGTAACATAGAGAAAATAAATCTTAATATGTTCAGATAGCAGAGTTATTCACACAATACAGAATTATCGGTTAAATTAGTCCAAATTAACATACCTGTGGCAAAATGTCCACTCCATCGTTGGTCCAATAGGCGCTTGAGTGTCTCTCCTTTGTAGAGAATGGCAACAGTTGGTTTTCTGCAGAACTTGTACAGCATGTTACACACACTGAAGAAGTCCATCACAGCCTTTTCAACTGCCAGGGCATGGGTGACTACCAAATGCAGCTGATGATTATAACAGTGGACATACGGTATCTCTCTGTCCAGTTTTTGCTGCAGCAGTTTCTGTACCCCTCCATGTTTACCTGACATGAGTGAGGCACCATCATACACCTGACTGAGGATTTTCTCAGGTTTCAGGCCAGCTCTGGTCAGTTCTTCTATGATGGTGTCAGTCAGTGTAACTGCATCTCCTTGGTCAGCAGTGGCTATTGAAAGGAGGCGCTCAGTCGGTTCGGACAGTTTGTTCACAAAACGGAGAATTATGGATATATTCTCTCTCCCTGTTGGATCTCTGGTTCCGTCTGCTTTTAATGTGTAAAATGATTCACCAACTTCTTTCACTATGTGCTCTCTTACTAAAGCACTCATCACATCTATTAGGTTATTCTGAATGTCATGACTTGTGTATGTTGCATTGCGAGGGATCGTTTTTGATATCCCTGCTAATTCAGCATCTTTCCTTAATGCAAACTCAAATAAAGACAAAAATAGTCCACATCCATCCTCATTCATGCCACTGTATGCATCGTGGTCACCTCTAAAAGGCAGTTGGTTCACAGCAAGGAACTCCACAATATCAATAATTGCAGATAGATAATATCTGTTGCGCTGCAGTTGATCGTTGTTAATTAATGTTGAGATTTCCTTGTTTGTGTGAGTTCGTCTTTCCTTGTCCCTCCACATAGCCTCACAAGCTAAGTGCTCTTTGGAAGCAGCATGTTTGTTTAGTCCCTTTCCAGCTTCCACAGCATGCTTCCAGTTGTGGAAACCAGTCACACTGAAAGTTAGATCACTGTTTCTGGATCCTTGTCCCTGAAACATTCTGCATGGGTAGCAGTATGCAGCATCTGCCTGAACTGAATACTCCAGCCAGGTAAAACGCCCATACCATGAACTGCAGAATGACCTTTTTATCCCAGAGAACATGTGTGAAGGAAAACCCTTCAGAAGTGGTCTTTCGGGGTTTTCTGTGCCAAGGTCACTAGGCTGGAATGGCCTGTTGACATTCCTCCTCTCAGCTGTAATGTTACCACAGACTTCACTGTTGTTGTTATTGACGTCGTCACTCACGTTTCTTCCAACTGGCTGAGCACTGCTCGGTTCTGCTCCTTGTGCTCCCTAGCTGCTGTAGCTAACCCTCCTAGCATGAATGTTTACTCCAGAGTTGACTTCAGTGCTTACGTTTCCAACTGAAATGGATGGTGCCGCTTCCTGTCCGCTCTCATTTTTTCCACTGTCAGTGTCATTCGTTGTCCTCTTGTTTTTTTGGAAAAAAGTCCGAATATCCATGATACACGGACAATGGTGAGCGTGACTGTTTCTGTTTGAAAACAGCTAGTTTGCGCCTTAAGTCAGTGACCCGCCCCCCTCGAACTGTAGTTGGCTAGAATGTTGCCTTGGCTTCATTGATTGGTTGAATTGTTTGACTGACAAACAGAGATAGGAAAAATAGAAAGATGTACACTCAGAGATAGATTAAAAACAAACAAACAAAAAACTTCCCGTGTCCAGTCAGGGGGGGCACAGCTGACTCTGTGGGGGGGCAATGTCCCTCAATGCCCGCCCATGCCGCCGGGTCTGTGTATGCTCCACACTGGTTTGTCGTCATTATCTGCATCGTTTTTTTTTGTCTATATTCTGATTTACCTCATTTTGTATTTTGCTTTGTGTGTTACCTGTTGTTTTGTCTGTACAGCACTTTGGTTGGCCTTGTTGCTGTTTTAAGTGCTTTATAAATAAAGTGGTATGGTATGGTATGGTATCTGTCTCAAAGACAAAGTGCTTTTAAATCATTTAGTTTGTGTTTTTCCGGCATTTAGGTCATTAAAAACACACAAAACACACAATTATACACATACTGATATACACACAGAGAGGCTGAGGCAAACAACTTGTGTCGTTCCATCTGGAGCAGTTGTGTACGTTTTCACATGAACATCTGGGACGTTTTCTGATTGACAGCTCTGCTGCTTCACTGACAGTTTGAAATCAGTTTGGTTCATTTCATTGTTTTTTTCTTTTCTCTTCCCCTTGTCTTGTCCGGCATTGTGACACTTAGAATTATTGTCTGAGTGTCAAAGTGATGCCCAACAGATTTACTTTCACAAGCAGATCATTATGGCTGGCCTTAATGCTCCACTTGATATATAAATTAAATTTTATTAGAATATGCTTTGGGTTTGTTCCAGATGTAATGGACACGGGGACGAAAAACAAAAGATAACAAAGCAGAAAAGTGAGAGAAGAGTTAAAATGTAAAGAAGGAGATAGGAATAGAGGAGAGAGAGAGGGATAAAGAGAACACAAATCAACATCATTGAAGTCTGACTCTAGACCTGCGGAAAGAAGAAAAAAAAAACCTGACAAAACCAAGAAACCACAACAACAAACAACTTATATAATGATACTTATAACATCATTAGAAAGTATTTTATACATTACATGGTAATACAATATATATTTTGATGGCCACCACAACCCAACTGAGTGTGTATCTGATAAACACCTGAATCTAAACACCTGTGTGAGCATGCTTATCACTATAAAGTTTCTCCATAAAAATGTTCAATAGTGGATGTGGGGACCCATAAACCTGTCCCCACAGGACACGAAGGTAACACAGTGAAGACCGGAACCACAGACACACAGCGGTCCCCAAACCCGGAACTCTAGGAGTCCCCCAACAGGGACACCTGCACCCCCCCCAGAGAGAGAAGCAAAGGGAAGCCCCGGGCGATCCCCAGCAACCACAATGCAGAAACCCCAGGAGGCTGTAGCGACGAGTCCACAGGCCCCGCCGGCAACCCGCCCTCCAGAGTGGATCCGGCCATGGACACCAAGCCCCGAGTCCCGAGGTCATACCACCCCCCAACAGAGGCCCAACAGAGCCAGGGCACCCAGGCCCCCGCAGGCAGCCACCAGGGCGGGCCCGCGCACACCCCACCACCCAGCCCCAGCTGTTGAGCCGCCAATGCACAGGCGGCAGTGGGGCCCACCACCGGAGGGGAGCACAACACAGTTTGGTTCATTTCAAATGTGTCTATCTGGTACAGAACCAACTTAACAGCTTCACTTTATGGTCAAGCTACCAATATTTATCAGACCTTTTAAAGCCCCTCTGTCCCACAAGGACTTTGAGATCTTCAAATCAAATGTTGCTGATGGTACCAAGAACTGATTTTAAAACACGTGGAGACAGAGCATTCCAAGTAGTGGCCTGGAAGCTTTAGAACGCTTTCCCTGTCACTGCGCTGCTCAGATTCCACTGACTCTTTTAAAAAAGATCTTAAGACTTATTTATTCAGACTGACTTTTAGTTCAATTTTGTTTACTTTTTCATTTTTGTTTTGCTTGTGAAGCACTTTGTGATGTTACTGTCTGTGAAAGGGGCTATAGAAATAAAGATTACTTACTTAACAGCTTCAATAGTTCACAGGTTCACTGAATCTTTAAGACACTGATTCACTAAATCACTAATACACTGAATCATTGATTCACTAGTTCACAGATTCACTAAACTACTGATTTATTGGTGGACTGATTCACTGAGTAATTGATTCACTGGTTCACTGTATCACTGATTGACTGGGTCATTGATTCAGTCTAAAAATCTGTTTCTCCTCAAAATCAAACCCTGATGTGTTGATGAACCTTTGAGTGCTCGCCTGTTTGGGTGAATCTGAAACGTAAATCAAACTGAATGGAACCACCTCAGAATGGAGAACTGGAACAACAACTAGGAGATAAAGTTAGAGAGACCTGACTGAGACATTTGGACATGTCCAGAGGAGGGACAATGGGTATATTGGTAGAAGGATGTTAGAAATGCAGCTTCCAGGAAAAAGACAAAGAGGAGACATATGGATGCAGTTAGAGAGGACAAGGATTGTGAACAGAGTGAGATGGAGGAGAAGGACTCACTGTGGAGACCCCTGATGAAGGATCAGCTGAAATAAAAACAATAGTATTAAAAAGATTTGAGATGAAATTAAAATTCTTCTCTTGTTCTTCAGGTTCGATTACCAGGAGCTGCTCCATAACTCCACCTTCTGTTTGGTTCCTCGAGGTCGACGCCTGGGCTCTTTTCGCTTCCTGGAGTCACTGCAGGTAAGTTGTCTGCACTCCCTATATCTCTCACACCGAATCCCAACCCCCCTCCAGAGGACTTGACTCAATGCGTTTCTAGGCGGCGTGCATCCCTGTACTGCTGAGTAACGGCTGGGAGCTGCCATTTTCTGACGTCATCCAGTGGAACCAAGCTGTCATCGAGGGAGACGAGAGGTTACTGTTACAGGTACCTCACACACACACACACACACACACACTCACACACACAAGAGTATATTGTTTAGGGAGGTTGGTGGTTTGATTCCTGCCCCCTCCAGTAGGCAGATGAAACTGACACTGAGAGCAACTCTGACAAAAAGCAGTGGATGGTATCTAAAGATAAACCTCCATTAGGTTCATTTACACATTTTCAGCAGGAAGTGGGTCAGAGGTCAGTGATGAAACCAAGGTCAGGGTCAGTGATGACACAGGGGTCAGAGGTCAAGAAGATAACGGGTATGTTTATCCGTATGAAACATGTTCAACCTGAATTAAATGAGTCAGCTGATCTCTTCAGAGCTCAATCATGTCCCAATATTTGAATTTATGAACCTATGGTCTGTCTGATGTCTGCAGGTGCCATCCACGGTGAGAGCAGTACCAAACGAGCGGATTCTGACCCTCAGACAAAGAACTCAGATGTTGTGGGATGCCTACTTTTCTTCTGTGGACCAGATTGTCTTGACCACACTAGAGGTCTGCTCAAAGCACTGACACCACTAGTATCAGAAGGTTACAGACAATTTTACTGGGCTTGTTTGGGTCGCTGCTCAGAAACTAGTTGTAACGCTGCATGACGTGATCCATCGGTGTACTTCAGGTGGGATCCACATGGTTCTGACATGGATGGTCCCAAGCAGAAGCTGATTCTGAAGGACAACCATGGAAACTTGCTAAACTGATCAGAAGTTTTGATCTTGTATTAGTCCAGTCCTTATGAAATAGTGGGGCATACCTCGGGGCGGGGGGGGGGGGGGAGGCATGTGACCCCAGGAAACATGCTTTTTTGCCATAGGGAGTAGTTTTAACTGAAAATTATTGGGAAGCACTGGATTAGTCCAACTGATGATTTTGTTTCTCTGGTGCCAACCTTTCTTACTGCTAAAATAAAGCATCACTTCTGAAACAGGAAGCATAACATGTCACAGTTTTAATGTTCTTGAAGTCTGATTTTGCATCAGCTTAATTCTGATGGTCTGGCAATTCTTCCAAATCTTTAAATTTGCACTTCATTTTTCATGATGAGTCAGTTCAGTTGGATACTGTTAAGCTTTACAGACCTGCTGATCCAACAAAGATGTCCCCAACCCAAGTTCTGCAGACCCAAAAGAATGAAAATTTCTCAGTATCTGAAGGGGAACCTGGTCATCAATTTACCTATAATGTTCCTGAGCTCAGGACCTCCTCTTTCTGCACTGTGTTTGAAACCAGACACTAAGTAATAAAACAACTCTAATTTTGTCATTGTATGGGAACATACAATGATAACGACATAGCACTTTACTTTTTCCTTTAAAGAGAAATCACAGACTGATCTTTTCACTTCTTCACAGCCAAACTTCTCAGAGATGCAGACATGTGAATATACAGTACATGCAGACATGAGTTTAGACATACCGTATTTTCCGCCGTACACGTCCCACCACCCTATACGTCGCATCAGTCCAAATATGTCTAAAAAAGTGGAAAAATCCATAAATATGTTGCTTCGCCGTATACGTCACATCTATTATTCTATTATGCATCACCGCTGATGCATTGCATTTGTTACGCATCACCGCTGATCACCCGGAAATGTGGGCCAGTGTTGTGCCAAAAATCCATGGGCTGCCAAATGGTGGCCGTGGGAGCATGCACGGGAGGACTTTAATAAGAATTTAACAAGATTACCCATTAAAAATAATTATTTGTTTGCTCGAAATTATAGTAAATGTGTTTCTCAGTCTGACTTTTGCTTAATAAATGCATTTTGACAGTCAAATCAGCTGTATTTCAAAACTAGATTTGCGGAAGTGGCGGGCACACACAGAGGGATGAGTCTCTGCATTTTTTTGAAATTTAACAATATAAACACTTACAAACAATTATTTGTTTGCTCGAAATTATAGCAAAGGTGTGTCTCAGTTGAACTATCCTGATACATGCTCAATAATTCAGGTAGAAAAATCCAAAAAAGTTCAATCTGGTCCTCTGGACATTCAAAAAACAAGAAAACAAATAAAAAAATAAATAAAAAAAAAACAACAAAGCAAAAAAAATGTAGAAATGTTTCGTCTCTCATCCGAGACTTCCTCAGTCTGAGGTGCTGTATTCAGCTCAGTCTCTTAAATAGCACCTTCTCAGAGTGGATCAACCAGTTTGCTGCTGACAACCAAAACCAGCTGCTCACATGTTCAAGAAGGACCATCAGCCTAACAATGGATCATTAGCACACTGATGGCTGTTTACTATTCACAGGGGGTTGAGTGATACTAGCAATAACAGCATTGTAAGAGGGGGACAGTTGAACCCGGAGGCCTCCACCCCTGTTTAATGATGGACGATTTCTTTTCACAAAGATGGCCTTCTTTACTCCTCTCTCAAACCATCGTTCCTCTCTGTCCAGGATGTGAACATCTTCATCCCTGAAAGAGTGACCGCTGGCCTGGAGATGAGTGTAGACCGCAGAATCCTGGCCTGATGATGTTGATCTTCTGTGCTGGGCCATCCTTTTGGCCAGTGGCTGTTTAGTTTCCCCGATGTAAGACTGATCACCCTCCTGACACTGAACAGCATACACAACATTACTCTGTTTGTGCCGGGGGACTGGATCTTTGGGATGAACCAGTCTTTAATGTATTTTGGGGTTTAAAAGCCACTGGGACGTTATGTTTAGAAAAGAAACGTCTCAGTTTCTCTGATACTCCCTCAACATACGGAATGACCACTGGTCTGGATTCCTCCTTTTCACCTGTTGGCTGACTGGAGTCCTGTTTGGATTTCTTCTTTCAGGAAGGCCCAGTTAGGATATCCACATTGCTCTAGAGCTTGTCTTGTGTAGGATTTCTCCTTCTGCCTGGCTCCTGAGTTAGTGGGGACGCTGTCTGCTCTGTGATACAGAGTCCTGATGACTCCTAACTTGTGCTCCAAAGGGTGATGGGAGTCAAACTGCAAATACTGGTCTGTGTGGGTGGGTTTGCAGTACACCTCGGTTTGCAAAAGTCCTCTATCAGAGACTGAGACCTCACAGTCCAAGAAAGCCAACCTGCCATTTTTTACATCTTCTCGTGTGAACTTGATGTATTTATCCACAGAGTTGATGTGGTCAGTAAAATGTTGGACTTCCTGAGATTTAATTTTAACCCAGGTTTCGTCAACATACCTGAACCAATGACTTGGTGGTGTCCCTGAAAAGGACATCAAGGCTCTCTTTTCTACCTCCTCCATGTACAGGTTGGCAACAAGAGGAGAAACTGGAGACCCCATAGCACACCCATGTTTCTGCCTATAATATTGCTCTCCATATGTGAAGTAGGTTGACTGCAGGCACAGTTTCAATAGTTGACAGTTGTTCTGTGGAAAGCGTGGTCCTGCTGCTCAGAGTGGTGTCTGATTTTAATCTTAAACTGACCACCTCTACTGCATCCTCAACAGGAATGCACGTAAAGAGTGATGTGACATCAAAAGAGACCATTGTTTCATCAGTCTCCATGATGACATCCCTCACCTTATCCACAAAGTTCATGGTGTTCTGTATGTGGTGTTCTGAGCTGCCAACTAAAGGGATGAGTACAGACGCCAGATATTTGGAAACATTATTTGTCCATCCATCCATCCATCCATCCATCCATTTTCTTCCGCTTATCCGAGGTCGGGTCGCGGGGGTAGCAGCCTAAGTAGGGAGGCCCAGACTTCCCTCTCCCCAGCCACTTAGGCCAGCTCTTCCGGGGGAATCCCGAGGCATTCCCAGGCCAGCCGAGAAACATAGTCCCTCCAGCGTGTCCTGGGTCTTCCTCTGGGCCTCCTTCCGGTGGGACGTGTCCAGAACACCTCACCAGGGAGGCGTCCAGAAGGCATCCTAAACAGATGCCCAAGCCACCTCAACTGGCTCCTCTCGACGTGGAGAATTAGCGGCTCTTCTCCGAGTCCCTCCCGGATGATCGAGCTTCTCACCATGTCTCTAAGGGAGGGCCCAGACACCCTGCGGAGAAAACTCATTTCGGCCGCTTGTATCCGAGATCTCATTCTTTCGGTCACAACCCAAAGCTCGTGACCATAGATGAGGGTGGGAACGTAGATCGATCGGTAAATTGAGAGCTTCGCCTTTTGACTCAGCTCTCTCTTCACCACGACAGACCTGTACAGCGCCCACTTCACTGCAGACGCTGCACCTATCCACCTATCGATCTCACGCTCCATTTTTCCGTCATTCGTGAACAAGACCCCAAGATACTTGAACTCCTCCACTTGGGGTAGGACCTCCTCCCTGACCCGGAGAGGGCACTCTACCCTTTTCCGGCTCAAGACCATGGCCTCGGATTTGGAGGAACTGATCTTCATCCCGGCCGCATCGCATTCTGCTGCGAACCACTCGAGCGAAAGCTGTAGATCACGATCTGATGAAGCCAATAAGACCACATCATCTGCAAAAAGCAGAGACGCAATCCTAAGGCCACCAAAACGGATCCCCGCAACACCTTGGCTGCGCCTAGAAATTCTGTCCATAAAAGTTATGAACAGAATCGGTGACAAAGGGCAACCTTGGCTGAGTCCAACTCTCACCGGGAACAAGCCCGACTTACTGGCGGCGATGCGGACCAGGCTCTGACACCGGTCATACAGGGACCTAACAGCCCGTATCAAAGGGCCCGGTACCCCATACTCCCAGAGTACCCCCTACAGGGCCCCCCACAGGGCCCCCCGAGGAACGCGGTCGAACGCCTTCTCCAAGTCCACAAAGCACATGTAAACTGGTTCGGCTAACTCCCACGCACCCTCCAGGACCCTGCTGAGAGTGTAGAGCTGGTCCAGTGTTCCACGGCCAGGACGAAAACCGCACTGTTCCTCCTGAATCCGAGGTTCGACTATCCGACGGACCCTCCTCTCCAGAACCCCCGAATAGACCTTACCAGGGAGGCTTAAGAGCGTGATTCCCCTGTAGTTGGAACACACTCTACGGTCCCCCTTTTTGAATAGGGAGACCACCACCATGGTCTGCCAATCCAGGGGAACTTCCCCGATGTCCACGCAATATTGCAGAGTCGCGTAAGCCAACACAACCCTACAACATCCAGAGCCTTAAGGAACTCCGGGCGAATCTCATCCACCCCTGGGGCCCTGCCACCGAGGAGCTTTTTAACCACCTCGGTGACCTCAGCACCAGAGATTGGAGGGCCCGACCCAGAGTCCCCAGGCTCCGCTTCCTCAGTGGAAGATGTGCCGGTGGGATTGAGGAGGTCATCAAAGTATTCCGCCCACCGACCCACAACATCCCGAGTTGAGGTCAG